CCCCCCTTGTCCATTGTCCTCCCTTTCCCCCCCAGCCTCTTTGGCTCCGGAGCCCTCCGAGGAGGGGCGGGGGGGGGATTAATACAATGCCACACAATACAACTGCAAAAAGAAGAACAGGAGGACTTGTGGCACCTTAGAGACTAATAAATTTGTTAGTCTCTAAGGTGCCACAAGTCCTCCTGTTCTTCTTTTTGCAGTTGTATTGTGTGGCATTGTATTAATCCCCCCCCCGCCCCTCCTCGGAGGGCTCCGGAGCCAAAGAGGCTGGGGGGCAAAGGAAGAACATTGCACAAGGTGGGACTAGAAAGAAAGAAGGAGAGAGAGAGAGAGAGTTGGAGGGGAGGGGGTGAAAAAAACCCATCTTAAGGACTTTCCCTGCGTTTTAGCGAAAATCCCATCCAATTACAGCCTTGCGGGAAAGAACCGAGCGCTGAGGCGTTCATAGGAGGGGATTTCTCTGTCTTTTCCAGGGGGATTGCTCACCGGGCAGACTCGGAGGTTCACACGCCTTCCCCTTGTGCCCCCAGCGCCTGGAGATCTCTCCAAGGGACAGCCTGGAAGCGGATGGCTGAGGGGGGGGTCTTAGCAAATCGCTCCCGAGGCCCGTTCGTTTGTTTCTTGGAGGGCTTTAAACGGAGGCCACACCGCCTTGGAAGTAGCACCAGAATCGACCCGAAGATACAACTTCAGTAGCTTTTTCGGGAGGATGGAGACAGCCCCAGCTTTGTCATGGGCCCAATAAATACAGACAATAGCCAAGAAGTGGGTCTTGTTTCTTTACCAGGCAGCGGTGGCTTATTTTACAGCCCTCTATTAATTCCTACCCCAGGTCTTTTTCATTGCACCCTGGGTGGTGTGGTGCCATCTCGGCCCTCAAATAATCATATCAGACCAGGCAGGTAGGGAGGCAGGAAAGGATAGCTCAGTGGTTTGAATATTGGCCTACTAAATCCAGGGTTGTGAGTTCAATCCTTGAGGGGGCCATTTAGGGATCTGGGGCAAAAATCTGTCCAGGGGTTGGACAAGATGGATCCCCCCCCCAGGTCCCTTCCAACCCTGATATTCTAAGTTGGGGAATAAATCTGGCCACTCTTATAGTATCCTTTGCAAGGGTTTGATCCAAGAAGCAAAGCTTTCTGACAGTATTACACACAAAGGCTTGGCCGGGTGTTAAGGGCCAGACCACAACCTGCAGAGAGGCTAGGGTATGGTTTAGTCCAACTTGGAGTGATTTTCATTCCTGCAGGATGCCTCGTCCCAAGCCCACCAGAATGGGTGTTATTTTCCAAGATGCTTTGATGATAATTAGCTATGCATAAACCAGCTAATGGAAAATAATCTCCACCCCTAGCCTTGGCAATAGTGGTTAGGATCATTAATTATGCTGCAGCGGATTGGTTATAGCTAATTAACGCTAGCCTAGCTGATCCAGCAATCTTTCTAGGACCTGATTCTGTGGTCGATTGGAGTCAATGGCATAGTTTCCATTGACTTCACTGACTTAGGATCATTTGTGTCAAGGTAAATTGCTACGTTTTCTGCCCATCTTTGGCCCTCTCTTAGGGCCCCTTCCTTTAAAGAGTCACCAGCTAATCTTTACTTAGCCCCATTGATTTCCAGGGAACTACTTCCTGCAATGGGGCTACCAAAAGGAGTAAATGTAGGTAGAATTGGGCCCCTAGTTGCTGTAATTCAGGGTAACCTTAGACTTCTTGCTGGAAGGCATTATTATTTTTTTTAAACTAGTGCAGGGTGCGGATGGGGGAGAATGTTGGCTGTGGTTAAAATACAGGAGACAGGAACCAGATCACCAGCTGGTGTAAATCAGGCATCGAAGTCAATGGAGCGGCACCGATTTGCACCAGCTGAGGGTCTGGCCCAATAGTCTTCCTTTTGCCACCTTGAGGAAGTCATTTATGGGCCAGATCTTGCACCCCTGAAGGCACTGCCAGTTTTGCTACAGATTTCAATGGGAGCAGGAGTAGGCCCTGAACGGCTCACTGCCTCAGTTTCCCCTCTCTGTAAAACAAGAGCATAAATATTTACCTGCCTTCCAGGGCACGCTGCAAGAATTAGTTCCTTAGTGTTTGAAATCTTCTGATGAAAGGTACAATGGTCACCGGAGCCTTCATTGCTTGACTGTCAGGAGGCAGGAGGAGGAGGTGGTGGTGGAAACGGAGGTCATGACCCAGCCTGGATAGCCAAGGGATCAGTAGTCAGTGTAACTAGCTCCAATCCTGTTCATTCAAGAAAATGCCCTATTGAAATCTGTGGGCACCGCTCCCACAGGTAAGGGGAGAACAGAACTTAGAAGATGGTCCCCACTTTGAGTGACACAGGGAGTTTCTGTCAGAGTCCACATAAACTGAGTTATACTGTAGTTGAAAAGGCTCCACTTTCGCTACAAGGAATTAAAGAACCATGGGCACAGGGGAAAGAGAAGAGCTATTCGGGGCTGCCAAGAAGATAGCCTGATAGGAAGGCAAGCAGACTGACTGGCCAACGAAGGTTGCTGCCACATGGGTGAGAAATGCCCTGCTGCATCACTTCTCTTGCCCTCTTTTGCCCCCCAAACCCAGCTCCTCCCTGGAGAGCATTTGTTACAACTGTGGCTAGGATGGAAGAGGCAAGGATGTCATTAAGAGCAGAGCATGCAGCAGAGGAAAGGGGTGGGGTGTAGGTGTGTGTGTGTGTACACACTATATCGAGGGGTCTAAACGGCATCTAAAAGGGGCTTTTCCCCCCAACACCTGCTGTCCTTTATGAGGACGCGGAGTAAATCAAGGGTACTTTGCTTTTCAACAGCACCCTCCAGCCAAGAGCTCAGACCACATTGTGAGCATTAACTTAATCCTCACACCCACAATAGCAAGGAGCCACACCTGAGCTGGATCCAAGAGACCTGGGTTCCATTCCCGAGTCAGCCACTGGGCTGCTGTGTGATGCCAGGCAAGTCACTCCCCCACGTTTAGTCTGGGTAGCTCTTTGGGACAAGGGCTGACTCTTATTTTGCATTTGTACAGTGCTTAGATCCCAGTCTTGGCTCGGGCCTAGGTGCTACAGTAACATAATTAGTAGGTTAGTGAGTAGTAGTCTCCCCATTGTAGAGATGGGAAAATGAAGGCAGGGAACGGTTAAGTGACTGGACCGCAATGCAAACCGACGGTAGATCTGCAAATCGAAGCCACATCTCTTGCTGCCCATGCCAGCGCTTCCTCCACCTGCTTGCTATGACCAGCCGGATTTACTATCTAAGTCTGTCCTGTAGTGAGGAAGTAGAGGCTAGGAAAGTTGGCATAGGTG